CCACCCAGATTTAGACATTGGTGCAGATGCAGATCTCCCACTTCCACAGCGCGAACCTCAGCCCAAGGTGCAGAGGTTGCTTCAGAATCTCAGGGGGCATAGTCTCCACCCTGCGCCCCCCAACTGGAGTGGCTAGGGGACAGACTTCAGTGACCTCAGACCCTACCCCATTTTTCCCAGGTTGCCGCGGCAACTGTTCAGGGCCCCCTGGGTGGGAACAGTGGCTCTCAGGACATCCCTTCGTCCCACGCGCATCAGCGCCCTGCCTCTTTTGGTAGCTCCACCGCCAGCACCGCGGACAGCGCCCAGGACTGCCCGTGGGTATGCGGGCGCGCCAACTCAACCTGAGAAGCTGCACGCTTCCCTCCCGAGCCCCTTAACCCGCCGCTCCCCCAGCCCCTCCCTTTGTCTCCTGGCCCTCGTCCCCCTCTTCGGGATCTCGAGCACTCAGAGCTGCGGACACACGTGGTCAGGGGCTGGGTGGCCACAGTCTCCCCCGCGGTCGCCCCCACCCTCCCCGTGACGTCCTAGGCATGCGGGCCCCTTTGTGTCCTGCGGCCAGATCCCCGGCCCGGCAGCTGGGCCGCCCTCTGGGCGGGCGCATTGTTCGCCGGATTTGTCCGCGGAGCGAGGGGCCGCCGGGGGCCAGGGCTCGCCTTTTTCCCGCGGGAGGGGCGCCGCGCCGGCCGGGCTCGCGGGCTATTTCCATGAGAAAGGAGCGGCGGAGGCGCCTCTCTTGGCATTCACCGCGTGCCTTAATTGTATAGACATTAAATCAAGGTCCGCTGTGAACACGCAGAGGGGCCCTCAGGGCTGCGGCGGGCGGCGAGCGGCTGGGCCAGGTCGGGGCCGGGGCTGCGGCTTGCGTGGGGTCCTAGCCTGAGGGGCGCGAACGCTCCAGCTTCTTCGCGGCGGGGCGGGCGGGGCGGGGCTCCGCGCTAAGCTGGCAGTGCAGCCCTGGTCCGCCCCCAACTCCGAGGAGCCCTCTCTCCTTCCCCTCCCCGAGGTAGAGAAGGGCCTAGGCAAATCCCTTGAGGCGTCCCTGCAGCAGGGACCCCTCGGAACCGCAGCGAGAGAGATGCAGGAGCCGGCCGGGGTGAGCGTGCCCATGCTCCGGCCTTCCGCGATCTTCTGAGGGGTGCAGAGCCCGCTCCACCCCAGCGGCGCAAGCCTCTCCGCAGCTGCCCTTCCCTGGCTCATCTTCCGGACCCCACTAGGAGCGCGTGAATGCGGTGAAAATAAAGAACCTCGATGTTCGGAGATGAAAAGCAGTCTCTTTTTTACAACCCGCTGAGCTCTCTTCCCTTGCGCCTCAGACCGGCTAGAAGCTGCTCGAGGAGAGAAAGACGGGGTGACCCGAGAGGCCGCTTGCCGGCTCGCCCCGGCCGGGGCCGCCAGCGCAGTTACCCGTCCGGGCGCGAGCCGCCGCCGCCTGCTGCTCCTCGGCTGCCGTCGCCTCCGCTCCGCAGCACCGCCCGCGCTGTCGCCCGCTCCCGCCTCCGCCTCCTCCTTGGCGCCCGCAGGACCCGTACGCCACGGCCCGGGGTGGAGGAGAGCGCAGGGACATCGCCAAGGAAGCTAGGCAAATTCCCGAGGACCGGCTGGGAGCCCAGCGTCCGCGAGGTCGGCACTGCGGGAGTCCGACTCCCACTCTCCTGGCCCAGCCCGGGTGCAACGGTCCCCGCGCTCGCCGCTGCCGCCGCTGCCTCCGCTCGTATCCGCGCTCGACTCCGGCACCGGGCGATTATCACTGGGGCGCGCGGTGACGTCACCCGGACACCGGCTCCGCCGCCTCCTCCCGGAGGTGTCCTTGAGAACTGAGGGGCACGCGCACCGCGTACACGCGCACTCACGCACCGCGCGACCGGTGCCTCCCGCGCACACGCTCGGCGTCCCGCTCCGCGCGCTCGACTCACGGACGCAGCCTTCGAACACCTTCGATTGTGCCCGGCGCCCGGCGGTCACACGTATGCGGAGAAACCGCCTCTCCTACACTCTCGAACCGCTCATACTGTCCTGCCGCACCACCCACGCAAAAGCTTCTCCCGCAGCCCACAGACCGCAGCTCCTTGACACCCACCAGCCACACCCCGCTGTGCAGCGAACACACTATGCCTGCCTCACACCAGCGGCGGGTCCTTCCAGAATAACCAACCACTCAACACAGTGGCTCCCGCGCCCCTCTCTCCTGGGGGAAAGAAAGGGGTCCCAGCCTCCTGCTGACGGCCTTATATGGAGGGGAGAGTTAGACGTCTCCCCCAACCCCCATCAGAGACTGCTCCCCTCTTTCACCCTTTCCTAGCTGGGGAGGGAGTCCTTGCCTACAGGGATGGGAGCACAGTCCACACTTCACAGCTGATTGCAATCGGATCTACTCCTTGCAGCCTATTGAAGGGTGGCTATTCTGATCTGGTAGTCCTTTAGGGCTAGGGATCAGCGGCTTTCCCCAAACGCCACTCCAGGTCTCCCAAGCGGCCTTTGTTCCTGGTGCAGACTGGAGGAACCGCACAGAAGCAGGCAGGCCTCTGGCCCCTTATTTTTCCTCCCTGGGCCAACCCAACCCTTGAGCCATCTGCCCTCTAGCAAAAGCTAGGTGACCCAGGATAAGGATTCTGCCGTCCTTCCTTTCCAACCTTCTCCAGCCCTGCGGGAACTCCGAAGACACTCCGCTGGGAAGGTGATCTCGGAGATCTCATGCTACTCCTAGAAGATCCTCAGAGGGTCGAGGCACCTCTCCTCTTCCAATCCACGATCCTTCCCTTTTCAGGTGTCAGTCGCTACTGACGCTGGAGAATCCCCACTTACACAGCCAGCATAAGCCCACTTTTGCTTATGCCCAACCCAAACCAAGGACTACCCATGGCCTGCTAGCACCGGTAGCCCCAGGGACACTGACTAGGGGCTCGAGACTGAAGGATCTAGACTTCGAGCAGAGGCTGTTTCTCGTTAAGAGTCAGCTCCGCCTGGCCAGCGGTCCCTCACTCTCCAGGGTACTGGGGCAGGTCCCTAGGACGGTCCAAGACTCCGCAGCGCAGTCCAGGACCCCAAAGCTACAGGGTCTGCTGTCCATGGTGTTGAAGGCATAGCCTGCAGGAACCTCTTCTCATCCGCGGAATCTCGGTCCTCTCCCACTAAGGCTCTCCCAGGACCGCAGACCCTTTACCTTCCCTCAGCCCCACCCTCCGTTTTTTGCAATGGTCTAAGACATCTCGGCTTCTAGCCTGCCCAGAGCTTGTTTCTATTTGGAGGGTGCGCGGGGGATGGGATGGCACTCCCAAGAGCCTCGGGTTTAGGAGCGCGCTTGCTACGGGGCCGGCTCCGCACCGTGACTCCTCAAAGACCAGTTCCCTTCCCAAGCCAAGGACCTCCTCTTCGGCCTCCCCTTACTATTTATGGGAGATATTTACACCAGGCCAGAGAGTGGGGAGTCTGGAGCTGCACCCCTTCCAGGGGTCAGACCAAGTTTATTTTTCGCATCTCCGCCGAAACGTGCCTGAGCTTTTTCTCCTGGTACTTCTATGCGTTCAATCCGGAGCACCAGTTAGGATTCCTGGCTCTCTTTTTCCAATTCCCTGCGTCCTGCCTCCTGGCCTGGTGGGCTGGGGGAAGGGCTGTCCTAGGCGTGGGGGTGGAGCTGTCTGTGCGTTGAGAGAAGGAGAGCCCACCCCAAGCATTCCGCTGCCTGTTCTTCTTAGTCCTCCCGGTAGGGACCTTTTTGGTGACCCTGGAACCTTCAGAGGTTCCGTAAAAGTCAACTTACTGATGCTGGGCCTTGGCTCAGGTTTGTTCTCCCTTGGACTCCGTATGGTCCAGCCTCACCTCTTCACGATCCTTCTTTCCGGCGCAGCCGCCTCTCCCCAGCACACTGCAAATTTGTGTTTGTGGATTTATTTATTTGCTAGTTCCTGGGTACGTGGGGAAGAGGATGGGGCACGAAGGTGGGGCGACATAGTCCAGTTAGCTCAGGCTCCAGGTTCCAGGCCGCTGCTCCGCGCTCACAAAGGCCATGCGCGCCGCAGCCCGGCAACTTTGAGACGGGTCAGGTGGCTCAGGCGGGGTGGGGGCGGGAGGAGGGAGGGAAGGATGCAGGCTCGACCCCCTCCTTTTCCCTCTTGCCCTCCATCCGCGAAAGTCTGCAGTAGCGTGGGATTAAACAGATCAACAGAAACCCGTGGAGAACCTCCTCCCTTTCCGTTCTTTCTTATTCGTCACACCACCGCCCCCTCCTCTGCAGGAGGCTTGTCATTCCTCCAGAAAGGGGAGGTGCCTTGATCCACATCTGGGAACAGCTGGCCCACAGTCTCTTGACCCTTGATCCTACCCTGGCTTCAAGGGGAGGAGAAATGGGGGAAGAAGGCCTTCAGGCTGCCACAGCACCGAAAGCCAGCCCCCTTTGCATACATGGCCTTGGAAGCGGGTGGTAGGACAGATGCAGGGCCCACAGTACAGATGTGGCCAGCAGAGGGAAGAAGGGATCAGCTTTGCAGGCCCCTTTGCACTCTTTAAATGGTCCATAGCGTCTCAGATCTAGCTTGATGGTCAAGGTAGCTTGAAGGCCTTCACCCAGGAATGTCACAGGCCTCAGCTTCTTCATACCCAGTGCAGGTGGCCTTAAACCTCTCTCCTTAGGGTAACTTGTCTCCTAATGCAGTTGGGGTTGAGACTGAAGCTCTCAAGGCAGGGCATATACTTGATACCCAAGGGGAAAGGCCCCTGAAGGCACACCCACCAGGAGCCTGGGAATACTTCACTGCCTGCTTTATCCTGCTATATCCGAGAGTATAAATGTGAGTGGCTCCCACACAACACCAGATATTATGCTCACTACCTGGAGATTCAGCTAACTCTGGCTGCCCCTAAGCTATGATCTGGGTGAGGCCAATGGGGAAGGAAAGATTTGGCCTTGCTCCTCCTAGCCCTTTGTAAAGGGGGGGGGGCGGGACCCCCACCATGACTGAGTACTGAGGGCGGAGCCAGCCACCACAAAGACTGCAATTGTGAGTGAGGCCTGGTGCACAATGGAGGGGGGGGGGGCTGGGCCCTCCACATGGAAATGAGGCCAAAGCCCCTTTTTCTCCCTCCTCTGTCTGGCTTCTTCCTCCTTCTCCTCCTCCTCTTTGGCCTTAGAGAGCACCGTGGACAGAGCTCAAATGAAAACCCTGGAAGTGAAACTCAGCTTGATCCAGGGTCCCTCAGAAGCTCCACCAAGGCCTTCAACATTGCTTAGACTTGGAAAGGCCAGGTAACAGCAGGCTGGGATGGGGGTGGGGAAGGAAGGAGGATTACAAACAGGGCTGTCCAGGGCAGGACAAAGAATGAGGGATCCAGGCTGATCTTCTGGACTGTGGTGGCGGGAATGGGCCTTTTGTTCCTCAGGGTCCAGCGTTTTGGCTAGTGGAATATCCTTGGCTATGCTCTGATACTTCCGTGAATCCTGTGTTTCCAGGTGACCCCCTAGTCGCCCACCAAGGCAAAGATGACAAAATCTGCCCCCCTTCAACTCTGTCCCTTTCAGAGTAAGTTTTGGCTCTTATGAAGAAATTTCTCTTTACCTCTAGGGCAAGCCTGAGACCCCAGGCAGAATGCTGTGGGAGGTTGGCTCTACTCTAGGGATCTTTTAATTTTTTAGTAAAAATTACATTATTTATTTATTTATTTATTTATTTATTTATTTATTTATTTATTTATTTATTGTGTGCTTGTATTGGGGAATAGAGAACACAGGGGAACTTGTGGGAATCAATTCTCTTACATTATCTAGTATCAAACTCAGGCTTGGCACAAGTCCTCACATGGTGAGCCATCTTACTTCCACTTAGGAACCTTGATGTCAATAAAATCACCTGGGAGCTAGAATTCAGTACTGCTCCAATACTAACCAGAAAAAGGGTCAAGTATCAGAGCAGGAACTTGGGGAGGATGCTTTCTGGTCTCCTTGGAGTTCCTCCAAGATCTACAGAGTCTTCTGATGGGCTTCATAGGCCCACTTCAGGTATGGAAAATTCCTGGCAGGGCTACCCCATTAGAGGTTCCTTCTTTTAGAACTTAGACCTCAGAACAGGCTCCTGAAGAGCAAAGGCAAAGATTCCTGGGGCCCAAGGTGTGTTCTCCAATGGGACCCTACCCTTATCTGACTGCTCATCTTAGAGTCAGGCAGAGGAAAGATGCAATGAAGACAACCTAGGCCCAGGACTCTTTACCCCCTTAGGTTCTCTGAGGGCCCAGACCTCGGGCCCCACCAGAGGGAGCCCCTGCATGATACCTGCAATACTGAGCTGGCTTGATCTGGAGTCTGACTGAGGTTTCTGAGCAGTGTCTTAGTTCAGGAGTAGTGGGGAGACAACAATAAGAAGCCCTTGCTTGGGCTACAGGACTATCTTGTTAAGGTATGCTGTGAAAGAGCTTGCTCCAGCTGCTGCTGGAGTAGTCTGTAACACATCTGGCTGTGTTTTCCCTCCCAGACAGCCTGCTACCCTCCCAAAGGATACCTGTTCCCATTGGTCTCTACACACCTACACAGGCTCAGCTAGCTGTGCTGTGCTGCTGTCCTCTGCAAAAGGCTCCCGGAAAGGTCCAGGGATTGCTGTCTGCCAGTAGGGCAGTAGCCCTTCCTTCCCTCTCTTTGGGTATGCCAACCTTGTAAATTACCTACCTCAGGGTTGCCCATGCTGGATTACCACAGCTCCCTGTGTTTCTCTGGGCTGGGTCTCTGAAAGGGGAGAGAAGAGAATGGAAGGGAAAGGCCTGGATAGCAGGGTAGGCTGTGAAGTGAACAAACGCCTTGGCTCTGCCTACTCTGATTACAAGAAGGTTCAAGAACCCTGGCCAGTGGTGCAGAGGTCCACATGTTATAATCGTTGACTGAAGGAGGGTAATGGAACTAGTCTGTGATGAGTGCTCAGTCCACTTATGTGGGGAGTCTGGGAAGGACAGGCTTGCCTAGGCTTGTAGCATAGGCAGAGTTGCATAAAGACTTATACCCTGGGCAAGTGTGAACAGAGAAAGGTTTTCATCATGTCCAACACTCAGAGACACTCTTTGACATCCCATGATCAGGCTAGAAGGTGGGCAGAGGCAATTTGGCCTATTTGTTCATAATTGTGTTCATTTTAAGGTATTGTTCATTTAGGACAAGTGGCAGTGGTGGTTCACTAATCGCAGAAATAAACTCTCTTTAAACACAGGTACTTAAATAAAAAAGAGTGAGTGGAAGAGATGTGAGGTCAACAGAGCAGGAGGTGGGTGTCTGTGGGCCAGGGACCCAGTGGTGTGGGAACAGCTTGTGTGGGGTTTCTGTGTCCCTGGAGGGTCTCTCCACCTCTACACAAAGGCTCCCATCAGCTACAGCACCTCACATTCTGATGTGTGACTTTTTATACCATTTTTTTCCCCTGGAGGGTACTTGGAGGGCTCTATTGGATTTGACCTTGGTATATCTAGAATGGGTGTAGTGGGGTGAGAGGTTGACCCTGGAGTTCTCCAGGACACTGGCCTTGTTATTGGAGGTTCCTCAGGTTGGACAGGGGTGAGTGCACAGAAGATGTGTTCCTGGTGGGAGACTTCTAGGAGAGTCTAGTGGTCCTTCCTAAGCTCTACAGAGGACAAGAGCCACCGTAGGATAGATGGTGATTCCCCAAGGACCTAGAATCTGTAGGGTGGAGGGACTGCTCTGAGAAGAACAGGCGGGTGGAGGTTTGACAGCTGCATAGCTGCTCAATTCATAGGGTGTACTAAAAGCAGGCCCTGACCCTGGAGCTTTATGGAACCTGTTCTGATACAGGGAGGCAGGAGAGATGGACATATCTCTATAGACTAAAGGATATAATTTAGTGTGCCTTAGCCCAAGAAGGGTAGGAGAGTACTTGCGGGGAATAACCCAGAGGAGCATGGAGCAGGGTTGAGCTCTGCAGTCCCTGAAAGAGAGATGCTGCAAGAGAAAGGATGAGGCCAGGCCAGGTTCTTGACTCTGGGAGACTTTCTTGCCAGGAGTCCAGGTGTCCTTCTCCCCTTTGCTCTTTTTTGAGTGTCTGCTTAGGTCCCCTGAGGCCCAGAAAGGAATCAATCCACCTGTCCATTCTGTGCTTGGCATCAGTTCTGACCATGGGGACAGATGTGACCCTACATGGTGAGCAGACCTGTTTGCACAAGGGCTTTGCAATGCTCAGCTCGGAATATGGGACTCTTAGTCCCATCTCTGTCTCCAGAGCTGCTGCTCTTGAGCCCTGGAGATACTCCTTGTACCAGGTCAGCCTCAGTGCTGGGTACTGCAGCCAGGGGAATCTGGAGGCTCTGAAGGTGCAGTAGGACTTTACCTTCTGCAGGCAGCAGACACCAGCCACCCTTCTCTAGGGTTGTATGTCCTTGCCTCTGAAGAGGATTGTTTACTACAGGGTGCAGAGCTTAGACAAGGCAAAGAGGTGCCAGGTGCCAGACCTCTGCCACACATTGGCACATATTGTCCCTGAATTCCCTGCTAGAGTCTGCCTAGATCTAAGGTGAGGAGGGCAGCTGTCTCAAGGCCCTGCCTAGCAGCCTCCTGTTTTCCCTGATAGCTTCCAGCTCTCTCTGACAGACCCCAACCCTCTCCATGGGCAGATGACTACTGGTTCCAGATGGGAGGCTTTCTTTGGGGACTGTGGGTCTCATGAGGCTGGAGCAGAAAATGCTACTTCGGAGTTGGAGCAGCACCTTCTTGCCACTATAGCGTCTCACAGTACCTGAGGCTTCCTCTAGAAGTCTTGCCTTATAGAGGCCCAGGGATGACTCTTTGTACATAGCTCGAAAGTGAAAATGCATCCTCCTCCATATTTCAGGGAGACTCATGTAAACCTGATGAGCAAGGGCTCTTCCCATTTCCCAGCTCCTAAACCTCCCTCTAGCCCCCTCTCTACCCCTACGTGTATTCCCCGGCCCCTTTGTCTCCCCTTTGTCTCCCCTCTGCCCATGGATCTTTATGTTTTACTCTCTTCAACACCATTACTACTCAAAGGCCCAAGCTAAATGGAACTGGACATTGGTCTCCAGGATTCTCCTCGGCCTCTCGGAGGGATATGTCTGTTCCCCCAGATAGGTCAACATCCTTCTGACTGTCCTGTGCCCTAACATCAGACAGGCTGGGAATGTTTCCACCTTATCATCAACTGTTCTGACCCACAGTGTACTCCTCTGAGAAGTGGAGACAATGAAGCCTGCCTCCAGGGGTTTTCCAGTGAATTTAGGAGGCACAAAGATGGAACCTGCACCAGGGAGGATGAGGAAAAGGGGCAACTGCCCCACATCTGTGAAAGGGGATCTTAACAGGAGCACATGCTGTGACAATGCCAGTATCAAGGAGCTTGGCTTGCTAAGAATCCGTCTTTCCCATATTGAGGGGTGAGGCCTCCCTGAGAACACTGGCTTCCCCCAGACTTCGAAGAGGACACTCCAAAGTGGGCTGGTCCTCAAATCTAGATGCCAGCAGTCCCACAGTTCCAGGAGAAGGGGCCGAGGCAGTGGAAGCTGAGAAAGGGGCAGGTTTTTCCTCTGGCTAGCCACTCTGAGGATGCCAACTGACCCTGACTCCTCCCCCTGTGGAAATGAGCTGCCTGGACAAGAGGCTTTGGCCAGTGGGTGCTGTCCAGGGTGCTGTCCAAGGTACTGTCCAAGCTAGAGGACTCTGTACCTGCCTGAAGATGGTAGGTAGTTCTCAGACAGGTAATTTGAAAGGAGCAGCAGCACACCAAGTACCAGCCACAAAGTATAGAGATAACATTTACAGGGTCTCCTGACTCAGCTCTGGACTCCTGAGAGGCACCTCCTGAACTGTTCTTACACCAGCCCTAAAACCTGGGCCTGTTCGGGACAGATAGGGGCCTTGATATGGGGCAGTAACTGAGAGCCCCTCTCCAATCCTGCCTCAGCCATGGTGTTTGCATATTCCTTGGCTCTGCTCTGGGTGGCAGGGAGATTATAGGATGAGGAAGGGGCAGCATCTCTGGGCCATCTTCTGCTGCCCTCACTGGTGTCAACCTCCCCACCCTAAGGCCTGGCTGGCCCCAGGCCTCTTCCTGGCCTATACAACTTGTTGGTCTCCCATTTCCCTTGGTGGAGAAAGACATGAAAGTGGCCTCCTGAGGACTTGGGGACCACTCTTGCCAAGAGGCAAGGGAGGCAGGTGTTGGCAGACAGGGAAGGAGCAGGGCACGAAGGCACAGACCAGCTTTCCCTTTATCAAAGACCAGGGCGTCCAGTAGGAGTGGGGAG